TGAGTACAAAAAAACATTATATTTTTTCAACATTATCGAATAACAAGCTCTTTTTAACAAGTTCTTTTCTTATCTAGTCCATTGGCAATGTCGATAAATATTATATATAATACACTAGCTGTCCCAGCAAACGTTGTTTTGCCTTAAAATAAAAAAAAATAGGGGTGGACTACCCCTAACATTTAGGGGGATGAAAAATAGATGTTATCCAATTCTTAGACCTACTCAATACGCTCACAAAATTTGATCAAATCAAATTGAAAAATGAGAATCGGTTAAGCCGTTTCGGAGGAGTATGGGAACGAAAACTGTGACAAGAGAATTTTATATAAATAAATAATATTATAAATGTGAAAGTTGGGATGCTTGTAACGCTTTTACGCAAAAACTACTGAAGCGATCATTATGAAGTTTTGTACACATGTTTTTGGAGGTATTGGAATGAACATAGGATACTTTTTATTTAAAAAAAAAACAAGTATTTTTTATAAATAACCAAAAACGAAACTATCAACATTTGCTCCTTCAGCACCATCTAGCAACCAGTAACGAAGTTTAGCTAGTTCGTTTAGCTTTAGCTAGTATATAATAAATTACCAGTATATTTGTTGTTTGCTAGGCCTAGTTTAGACGCTACTGCATTGGACTTGATATTAAATAGTTTTAAGAGCTATTGTATATATATATGAATTAATATAGATATAGATATATAACCTTAGTTAAGTCCCTTTTGTATTTGTTTTTTTTGCACAATACAGTTATTATTATTTGTAAACTACACAAAAAAATACTTATAAAAAAGGCAAAAAGGCATATATAAGAGCGGCACTTACTTTACAAAAGCATTCCTATGCTTACTATGTCATCCCAACACTATCATTTGAATCCATTTTTATTTGTAAAAATAATAATAATATAAATATCTGTTAAAAATGTAACGAATCGGTGTCTGTACAAGGAAGTTATATAAGAAAACCCTTAAAAGGAGACTTTATGAGACTACATACTAAATAATTTTGTCTGTGAGTTTGTACATCCTAATCTCGGAAACGGTTCAACAAATTTAGATGTAGTTTACACAAATGTATTGTGTTAATCTTCACATAAAATGTAGTGTTTGCTTTATTCGAATCTGTTTAGAAACAAAAAAATTATACGGGTACGAAGCAGCGAGATCAACTAGAAAAATTAACAAAACGCAATTACTAAACCTATCTTCATCTCTTTCAGACTATTCCCGTTGGTCATCCTTCTGTATTGGAGGAACTGGTGCAAATATAAGTATCACTACTGCCCCAACTGCCACAAGCTGATTGGATACGAAATACCGTTTCATTGTAATAAAATAACTTTAGAAGAATAAATACGGCGCGCATATCACCTCATTAATATACTTGCAAAGCAAATAAGCATACGGCCCAGCCGGTGATAAATGGTAACTGCTTAAATACGGTCTCACTAGTTGTTACACAATCTAGTTGTTTAGACACTGCCTTACTACCGATAGCAAGTTCAATATCACGCACAGTACAAACATTTGAATTCATAATTGATTGTATTGCTCTATGTTTCCTACGTATATATTTTGTATTTACAAAAAAAATGTATTTCTATCAGATTTATATCATTATATATTTATATCACTATAGTAGTTTTTGTTAGATACAAGCTTTGCTTAGCTGGGGAATAGATGGCGCGGAGTTAATTAAATAGAATGAAAAAAAAAACGATGAACTGCAAAGTATGTGTACCGTGGTAGTTTATACTACCACAGTATCTATAAATTTCTCCAAAATAAATAAATAAAAAGAGTAATCCGGGGTATGATCTGACTTGAGTGATCTGTAGAAAAGAGAATATGAGTATAACAATAACTAATTATTTAGGATTTGTATAATAATATATTTATATAGGTACCACCACCATATGAATTGTGACATTTGCAAAATTATTGAAAGTGTTAATGTATATATTAAAGTTATTCAAAAAATTAATTATGAATGGATTTGTATTATTTTCTATTATTCGGCTACCATTGACTTGTGTGTTTGCGAATTGTTCCATATGATTACACTTTTTTTTTATAAAAAAATACTTTTATTTTCCAAAGTATTATTCCAATTTTAAACATTTCCACAGAATTTGTGTAACATGAACGTAGGTGGATGGAAAGGGAGAGGACGCCCAAAAAAAGATGAATGTATGTAAATACGTTTAGAAAATGAATATGATTAATTGTCGAAGTCATTCGTCACTGAAGTCTCTATTTTCAATTAAATAATATATGTTATATGTATTTAAAAATCTATTAAAATCTCATTATCTGACTAATAAACTTTAATGATTTTCTAACCTAGGTATATGTAAATTCCCGGTGTTTCCGTTTCGAGCAGTTTACTCATAAACTCCTGGTGAACTTGCCATGATTATGACTCCAATATGTAGTATAGGGGGGGGGGGGGGGGATTGTTTGTAATGTGGACTGATGACTATTGCTAGCAATGTACCATGTCAGGTTTACCAGTACTTTGACGCCGTTCACCCTGAAAACCGTGATAAATTCTTCGTGAATTTATCACGATGGGCTAACCGACCTGACGTCATGCTCATCTTATCATCCTTCACGTGTGCCCCGCCAGCGTATACCGTTAGCGCACATGGATGCACCATTCCATTATCCATTAAAAAAAGGGGTTTCTTGGAAGTGAACCTGTCATAGTACATTGCTAGCACTGGCGTTAATATTAGTCCATATTACTAACAATTGCCTTTCCCATTCTTGGTATTTCAGGCGTCTATTAGCTACGGTAACCCTATACCATAAGACGAGCTGTATACTAGATTACCACTACTTTTGTTTTTTTTTTCGGACTACTCTAATGCTGTTGGCCGCAGCTGGCCTTTACAGCTCCACTGGACGTTAGGGGGCGAGTGCAGATGGCACTCCAAACCCGTGGAAGGACTTATGGAACGGCTGAAGGCCAACTCCTGCCTGACGGATACGGATTTAGTCTGAGGGCACCACTAGGGGTTCGAACCTCGGCTCAGGCCGTCGTAATTTCGATCCCCGTTTGAATTGGACGGGGGATCGATCGGAGGGGATTACCACTACTGTTGCATAAAATAGGCTATGGGTAAAGTCTAAAATTAATCAACTGGAGCATCTTATTTATAGTTATATTGCAGTGTTATCATACAGATATCTCATCCAAGGTTTTGAGAGGTGAATGATCAATCTAATCACTCCCCCTCCCTCCCTCACTCTGGACCGTATCAGTACGTGTCATTATTGGAGTACTCGCCGTGAAATTACGAAATGAGTTCAAAGATAAACCACTTCACCATAACATATATATCAATACACATGACTAAAAAGAAAATACAATAATATGCAGAGTCCACTACTACAATCCCCCTCCGCCCGATCCCAAGTTTAAACGGAGATCGAACTCTATGACACAAACACACGACATCGTTCTCGCCGGTGAAGTCGGCGACCTCAAACACACCAACGCAACCGACCTGGAGCCTGCGCTCGCCTGAGAACTCCAAACTGGCTGCCCCAGACCTTCCTCCGATCGATCCCCCGTCCTATTTAAACGGGGATCGAAATTACAACGATTTGAGCAGAGGTTCGAACCCCTAGCGGTGCTCTCAGGCTAAAATCGTATCCGTCAGGCGGGAGTTGGTCTTCAGCCGCTCCATAAGTCCTTCCTTTGGTTTGTAGTGCCATCTAGACTCGCCCCCTATCATCCGGTCAAGCTGTAAAGGCCAGCTGCGGCCAACAGCATTAGAGTAGTCCGGAAAAACTACTGCAGTATCTATTTATTCCATATGTATTCAACAACTGTGTCTTGGATCTTCCCCTTTTTCTTTCTTCCCAAGGAACAAGGAAGACCAAGAGACAGCTATACCAAGCAGATTAAGGAAAAAGTTGGAGTGGTGTCGTAACTAAAGAGATTGATGGAAGATCGTGGAAATTGGCAAGAGCTCCACCGACTAGAGCATGGCTCTTAAATTATGAATGAATGTGTTCAATAATAAAATTTAACATAAAAGTGGAAATCGTATTTTTGTTATGTTAACACTTAGATAATAATGATAATGGCAAACTTTCTCTTATTTTTATACCTGTGAAAATAAATTCTATATATTTATAATTATTTTCCCATTTTTGTTGTACAATGTCTGTATTTCAGACAATGACCAGCGGCTCCAAATCAGTGGCCCGCAGACTCCCAATGGCCCCCATAAACAGGGCGAAATATATATCTTCAGAAATATAAATTAATTTTAAATTCAAATTACGTGTAACATGTAATATAACTGTGATAATATTATATTATTAAGATTAAGATTATTGGCTTCATGAAAAGTTTAAAAGTTGTTATTTACCACGAGGTACTCGTGGTAAATAATCCTATCCTTATATAATAATCATATCCTTGCGGCTTTGTGTATCTGCACAAACTTCTAGCTTTAAAAAATGACAATACTTTCATACAAATTTTCCCTTTCAACTTCTTAGAACCTTTTTTCGCAAGAAAAAGTAGCTTATGTCCTTTCTCGGGGTCTATCCGGGACTATCTGTGTACCAAATTTCATTTAAATCGGTTTAATGGTTTTGGCGTCAAAGACAGACAGAGTTACTTATATTCGCATTTATAATATGAATAAGGATGTATGTATATATCTATACTTTATTTATATCTCATTATATATTATCTCTCAATGTTTCGACTAGGTTGCACTAGCTGTAGTCACGAGTTGACTGATATCATTCATTATTTACAATTAATTTATTCGTAACTCATTACATTTTTTTTTCTTAAATATTGTGGCCACAACACAAGTGTCCCCTGGCCAAAAAAAAGTTTGACAGTCACTGGTATGGACGTATGTATAGAATTCAACAATACATAAGCAATATTTGCGAGATAATCTTATCAATACAGGATTAGGTGTTGATATGACACCTAGGCACCGCCATTTTCAGCTCAGCCGATAACGGCAACATTGTTTTCGACTATTTATATTTATGTGTTTTATTTTCTTAGTGCTAAAATTACAAAATAAGGTCAGTAAAGTGTAATAATTTTAAAAATAATTAAGCGCCAAATCTTCCTATACATACAGCTTTATTTTATATCAATTTGAAAAATCTGAATTCCAAATTAGAATGTTTTTCTTATTAGTGCGTTCTGAGTTACGTCCGCCATTTTTAATTATTCGATTAGAATGAAATCAACATTGAATATTTGATAATTTTGTTTTTTTTTTGTTTATGGAATTCTTGAAGTTTTATATATTTATATATATTATTTATATGTATATTACTTATTGTTGTTATTAGTCTGGGTGTTTTCTGTGTATATTATTAATGTTTTACAAACAAAATATGTATTTATATCAGTTGTTTAGTACCCATAACACAAGCTCTGCTTAGCTTGGTATTAGATGGCGCTGTGTGTTGTCCTAGGTTATTTTTTTTCATGTCATTGGAAAAATGTCCTTATAGAAATTAATATTATAAAAATAAAATAAAACAAAACTTTGTAAATCCTAAGTTTTAAAGTACTCCTGTATTCTGTAATAAATAAGTAGTATAGTGTAGTGTATTCAGTTGAGTTTCTTGCCAGTTCTTCCCAATTGAATTTGTATACTGAACTGCACGATAAGGAAAAATTATAATATAAAAAAAAATACGTTTTCAAGCGGCTAAAATGTCCTACACAAATAAATGATTTTTGAATTAGAATTTTATTTTAAACATGCCTGCAATTTACTACCCAAAGATAGTTACTACAAATAAAATATCATATAGTATGTTAAAAATAATCATTACTAGTAATACAATTGGATGTTGATAAAGATTTTACAAGAGCACATTTCTGTTTAATGTTAGAATAGGACAAGATCTGCACGTCAAGATAAGAGGTGGAATGTGTAATGTATATGATAATGGCCTTTAGTATTTATTGATAAAACACGATGACAATCTCGAGAATAGATCACAAGATCCAGATGTCGCCAGATCATAAGTCTACTATTAGAAAACTATTTTTTATTATTATACTAGCTGACCCCGCGGACTGTTCCGTCTCAAAATTAAATATATCAAAGGTTTCTTGAAGTTACGCAATTTCTGAACGCACCCTGTTTGACATATAAGCCGATTGTATGGGCAAATATAATTGTTATTTTTACTATTTTACATGCATTTTTTTATATTTTATCACCGTCTAAACCTTTCATGGACTTGTACGAATATTTCAAGACTAAAATTAGCCAAATCGGTTCAGCTGTTCTCGAGTTTTAGCGAGACTAATGAACAGCTATTCATTTTGCTATACATATAAATAAAATTGGAGTGTCTGTTTGTAATATTGAAATAACCGTTTTTTACTACACGCATATGAATATAAATATGGTACATACACCAAAATAACATTTTTTTACAATTTTTGTCTGTCTGTTTGTTCCGGCTAATCTCCGAAATGGCTGGACCGATTTTGACGGGACTTTTTTTTGTCAGGTAGCTGATGTAATAATGAGTAACTTAGGCTACTTTTATTTTAGAAAAATAAACTTAAATTCCGCACGAAGTCGCGGTGAGAACTAGTTATACGTATAAATAATGACCGCGTCAAATTTAAAACAATAAAGTATCAAAAGAATTTACTGTTGTCAGTCTCCAATAACTATTCATCATAATTTTGACAGCCTCGTGGTCAAGTGGTTTAGCACATCTCTTTACTATCTGATGGTCGCGGGTTCGATTCCTCGCATGGTACAAACGTTTGTATTCATGAGTATGATTGTTTGTATCGGTCTGGGTGTTTTCTATGTATAATATGTATTTATTAAAAAAAAAATGTATCCATGAATTTATATTAGTTGTCAAGTACCAATAACACAAGCTCTGCTTACCTTGGGACTAGATGGCGCTGTGTGAATTGTCCTGAGATATTATTATTATATTATTAATTTTTATCTTCACTCTATCTATCCATTTCAGACTCATGTCAACCAGTAACAACAACACTTGGAGCCGCAACCAGCCCCCCCAGGGCATCTCCTGGAGTCCTCGGCCTGAGCCGTGGGAGTTCATCCCCAAATGGCCAATTCCCACCACCCCACACGGCACACCCGCGACATCTCCCACGAGAAGCGAGATCCATATAGACTTGCCTGAGAATAGTGGACTTCAGACTCAGGTTTCTTTGTTTAATATACTTAGCTGTTCCTATGGTTTCAGCTGCGTGAGATTACACCTATGTATTATTCTGATGTATAAAAAATCTAAATCCGTTCAGTAGTTTTGGCGTGAAAGAGTAACAAACATACATCCACCTGTACTCACAAAATTTCGCGTTTTTAATAACAATAATAATCTCAGGACAATTCACACAGCGCCATCTAGACCCAACTTAAGTTAGCTGAAGCTTGTGTTATGGGTACTAGATAACCGATACATATACATAGATATTTTTTTTGTAAATATACTAATTTTCCGTTACTAACCTTTTCGTTATTTCTTTGAAAAGTCTTATAGCGCTAGGAACCCACGGACCAAGGGTCTCGACACCGAATGGGACGAATTCAAATTCGGAGCCTGTATTTACATATTTTGGCTTTTTCAGCCGCTTCATATATTTATAAATAAATGTAAATATATACATATTATACATAGAAAATACCCAGACCGATACAAACAATCATACTCACGAATACAAATGTTTGTGCCGGTCGAGGAATCGAACCCGCGACCATCGGACGTAAACGTAGACCACCGAAGTCCATTAATACTCATAAACTACTGTAGCGATCTACTGTATGAAGAGTCGTGACTCATTAAGAGAGAAATTCAAAGAGGCAAATATTCTCACCGTTGCTTCTCAATTTATATATTCAAATATCCTATATGTTCATAAAAATCTTGACTTATTTCCAAAAACAGCAATATTCATAATATTAATACAAGATTTAAAGACAAACTTGCTGTCCCCAAGTATCGTTTAGAAAAAGTTAATAGGTCTTTTATGGGAATAGGTATAAAAATTTACAATAAGATACCAAAGGATATGTTGGAATTACCCTTAAATAAATTCAAAACATCTGTTAAATCATATTTACTGAGCAAAGCCTATTACTCAGTAAACGATTACTTGAATGACGAGTGTGCATGGCAATAGTTGTTCATGCACTGAATTTTCATTTAATGTTAGACATAGACACCTATATAAATATACATTGTAAATAAACTGGCTTAAAAAAAAAAAGTAATTCAATTGAGTTTCTTGCCAGTTCTTCTCAATTGGATCTATATACCGAACTGGACGGTAGGGAAAAAAATAAAATTATAATGTAAAAATTTGACGTTCATAAGCGGCTAAAATGTCCTACATGAATAAATGATTTTTGAATTTGAATTTGAAACTTTCGCATATATAATATTAATTAGTGAGACAATAACTAGTGCTCGTCCTATAGCTGAAATTCCGCCATAAGTAAATAAGAAAATCTTCTAAATATATAACTCAAAGGTAACTGACTGACATAGTGATCTATCAACGCTCAGCCCAAACCACTGGACGAATCAGACTGACGGATTTGGCATGCAGGTAGATGTTATGACGTAGGCATCCGCTAAGAAAGGATTTTGATTAATTCTACCCCCAAGGTGATAAAATAGGGGAGGAAAGTTTGTATGAAACTTTGTCAATTTAAACCGATCGGGCTGAGACTTTGCATGCATAAAGCTACAATAACGTAGGCATCCTCTAAGAATGAATTTTGATAAATTCCACCCCTAAGGGGATATAATAGGAGATGAAAGTTTGTATAAATCTTTTTAGATTTTCGACTGATTGAACTGAAATTAAAGATTGGAGATAGTATGATAGTATGATGAAGACGTTCGCTTATAGGATTTTGATAATTTCAACCCCCATGGGGATAAAATAAGGGATGATGCAGGATGTAAATGTATTAGTTAGAACCTATCACTACCTAATGGAAACAATAAATTAAGAACAAAATAATTTTTAGTTCTTTGGGCTACTTTTATTTTAGAAGAATAAAGTTAAATTCCAGGCGAACGAAGTCGCGGGAACAGCCAGTTAACCTATAAGTTCAATATTATTAAGGTTCTATTACCAACGACTATACTTCTATCCATATGTGTCACATACAAGGTAGTGAGTTTAATGTTTTTTTAATGATTAAAAGTATTTTTATGCATAATAAAAAAAAAAATATCATTTTGCACTCCACTACTAAGATTAAGGTCGCAGACGACTCTACAATGTCTACCGCAATAGACTTGTAATAACTCTAACAAACATTCACGTATAAACATAGTACCTATTAGATAAGATAAAATAGTACGCACTCATATTTCAATTTAGAAAGAAAGCAAAGAAAAAAGATAGATACATATAAGATAAAATAGTAAGCGCAATTGTATTTGTATTTCATTTAATTTAGAAAGAAAGAAAAAAATATTTATTCAGTACATTAAAATTACAATATAAACAAAAACAAGATAAAGTAAAATGTAAGTATAATATACATTTAAAATTTTTAATATTTTAGTTTTGGTGATTCAGATCTTCTGTGCTATTTATATTATTCAACCATATTTCTTTCGAAAAAGAAAACTGTCTGGCAATTTAGGAAACTCAGTTTAATAGTTCTCTCAATAATATATATAAAGTTCAGCTTTATTTAAATGACGTAAGTTTATTTATAAAATAGTATAGTTTAGGGGGGTCCGGCGGGGGGTTGGATCCACACTAAGTGTCTGGCAATGAGCAGCGCAAGTTATAAGAATGCTACGAACAATATATGAAAATATGGAGTTTCTTAAAATAACGAATTTGATATGAAATTTTTTACACCTTTGATACCTGGTACCTGCCAAAGGAACCACGATCCAGGTTTCATGTTTGGGGATCGTTCTTACCTGTGTTGGGGACACACATACAAGAACTTTCACGTTTACTAAAATGACGTATGTCTGGCCGTCGTGGGCTCTTGCTCTATTACCTATAATTTAATAGTTTTTTTTATTAATTTATTTATTCATGAACAACGTACATTGTATTTGAATGTTGATGTGATAGTTGATATGTGATAGATTGATATATCATTAATAATAAAATAATTTCAAAAACCGTCAATTGAGTACAGGCATTGCTCCAATAGTAGTGACTCCATTTTTTCTTTTTGTATAACAACTCAATTTAGACTACAATGGTGGTAGTACAGGCATACGGCCCATCTGATGGTAAACAATTACCTTGCTTAAGAACGCCTGAAACACCATCAATCACGTGGTTTTTATTTACGTTTTTTTTTATACCTTCAAGGCAAACCATGGGAGTACCAAAGACAGGGAGAGTCTAACAGAGACAATAAAGTCAGAAGAGGATGAGTATCCTGTACTGTATATAGATCTGCCTGAACGTGGTCACAGTGATGTGAGTCAGAGAATCCAGGAAGGCCCATCATCACCGCCATCACGCCCTATTCGGGTAAGTAATCCAATAAATAAATAATCTCAGGACAATTAACACAGCGCCATCTAGACCCAAATTAAGTTACCTAGAGCTTGTGTTATGGGTACTAGACAACTGATACAAATACATAGACATGTATTTTTTTCGTAAATATACATATTATATATAGAAAATACCCAGACCGATACAAACAATCATACTCATGAATACAAATGTTTGTACCGTGCGAGGAATCGAACCCGCATCCATCGGGAGTAAGGCGGTGTGCTAATCGCTAGACGACAGAGGCCGTCGGTGGTAATGTGTATTATCTTATATATAAAATTCTCGTGTCACAGTTTTCGTTCCCATACTCCTCCGAAACGGCTTGACCGATTCTCATGAAATTTTATGAGCGTATTGAGTAGATCTGAGAATCGGACAACATCTATTTTTCATCCCCCTAAATGTTAGGGGTAGTCCACCCTAATTTTTTTTAAGGCAAAACTACGTTTCCCAGGACAGCTAGTTTTAGATAATATTCATTATTTAAACACTTTTTTAATGTTTAAATAATGAATATTACTCTAATGCTGTTGGCCGCTGCTGGCCTCTACCTCACCTGACGATAGGAAGTGAGTGCAGATGGCACTCCAAACCCAAAAAGGATTTACGCAGCGGCTGAAGGCCAACTCCCGCCTGACGGATACGATTTTAGTCTGAGGGCACCGCTAGAAGTTCGAATCTCGGCTCAGGCCGTTGTAATTTCGATACCCGTTTGAATTGGACGGGGGATCGATCGGAGGGCGTTCGAACTCTCGTGGGTGTTCATAATATAGTAGTTTCCCGTACATCGACGTACTACAGGCTTAGTGATTGCGAAAATTTGGTAATGAACTGTCAGGATCTTACTTAGTTACGCTACTCAGTACTAATGCCCTGCCCTCGATAAGAATTCAGATACTAGACGTCTGTGGCTACCTCTTTCGCCGTATCGACCGTACGTACCATTCATTACCGTTAGATCCAAACGTACACAGGACAGTTCACACAGCGCCATCTAGTCCTAAGCTTACCAGATCTGACAACTGAAGAAATACTTAAATACATGTTTTTAATAGATATATAATATACATAGAAAACACCCAGACCAATACAACAATCATACTCGACAATACAAATGTTTGTACCGTACAAAGAATCGAACCCGCGACCATCCACATAAGACGATGTGCTAAACCACTAGAGCACCGAGGCCACCAAATGAGAAATATATTAATATTTATTTCTTTAGCCAACATATCTGCCTATACGGCCCGCCGGGTCGTCAAGTAAGGTGGATTTAGACGAGAATCCAGTAGTGTACATAGATTTACCAGAAACAAGCAACAGCGATGTCTGTGAACCGAGACGTACAGAAGCTGAAGAAAATCCACCCTTCATTCAGGTAAGTTTAAAAGTTTATAATAAACTAGTTACCATACATACCATAGAGCTCAGGCCCCAGCCATTTTTAAGCATTTACTCAAATCCTACTTTCTCTCTTTATAAATATGTTTCCTTCTTCTACATTGTGTTACCTGTGACATTTTAACTAGTATGATGTTGGTTTATATGTATAATATTTGATTATGTATAATTATTTCATGTATACTATATTATTATGTATGTATATATATATAAATTTGTGTATGTACCATATTTTGTTTACATAAGTGTATATAATTCTTATGTTTCCACTAATGCGCCACCACTCTATTTTTTTTTTTAAATACTCTCTTTCCAAAGGTTGTCTGTAAGAGATTGCATTAGCGATAAGATCGCCTTTTGTAATTAGTTAACTTTTTAAAAAAAAAAATTGTTTATGTCCTTTATATGTTGGTGCAATAAAGTGTTATAATAATATAATAATAATAATAATAGAGGGCAAGGGGTTTTTTAGTAATTTGGACTATTAACCCTATTTTTTTATGGATGTTAATGGTATGGTACACCCGCCTGCGCTAACGGTATACGCTGGCGGGGCACCAGTGGAAGATGATAAGATGAGCAAGAAGCAGGGTCTCATCTGGGTAAATGACAATTTACCACGGCATATTATAAATCTATGTATATACACAACAATTATATAAACATACTATATATATAAATTTCTGATTGACAACATGGCCGTCCCTAATCTAACCTGTAAATTGTCCAAAACCCTGGACAATTTACACAGCGCCATCTAGTTCCAAGGTAAACAGAGCTTGTGTTATGGGTACTAGACAACTGATATAAATACTTATACATATTATTTGTATGTACATAATATACATAAAGAAAACACCCAGTCTAATACAATCATACTCACGAATACAAATGTTTGTATGCACCATAAGAGGAATCGAACTCGCGACCATCGGGAGTTAAGCCGGGTGCGAAATAGCACCATACCTTTATCATCCATTAAAAATAGAATACAATAGAAATTTATTTATTCAAATAATTAAGCGCTTCTGAATAGTCACATTTCTCATTCTTTTAATATACCGCTCATTCGGAAAGCTGTGAATGAATGAATGAAAGCTAGAAATGAGACCATCACAAGAAGAATGAGCAAGAAACTTGCATGTTGCTGTTTTAAATAATCGTTGTAACTTTACATTTTTAGGTTGAAACATAAACCACTGAACGTACTAACTAGAAAAAATCCTTTAAACAAATAACATACTATATATTTATGTTCTATGTTACAGGACACCATACTTTACGACCAATTCAAGGACAGGCGGATACAAATACCAAATACGCCAGTGGATCAGAACACCGCCAGTGCTTACAGCAGTTTATCATCAGGAGAGACCCACTCGTCCAACAGATTGCTAACTCTACACAACTACCACTCCCTACCCTCACCTGAATACACAGGTAATACAGCTAAACTATATTTCTGACTCCCCGGTGATGGAATCGTCGAAAACAAACCTAAATTAATAACAGACTGAAAGCTATAAGCAAGTTTCATGTATATCATGGTAGAATAGCGACATGTGAGCATGACGGCCTTGGTGACCTAGGGGTTCAGCACACCGCTTTATTCCGATGGTCGCGGGTTTGATTCCTCGCGCTGTACAAACACTTGTAAACATGAGTATGATTGTTTATTTCGGCCTCGGCGTTTCCTACGTAAATTATCTATGTACTTACAAAAAATATCAAAGTATTTGTATCAGTTGCCCAGCATCCATAACACAAGCTCTGCTTGGTTTGGGACTGAGTATTATAACATGCCTAAATAAAAGAGCAACACGCAAGTTTCTTGCTCATTCTTCTTGTGATGAGTCTGTGTTCCAAATGAGTGGTAGAGTAGTTCATTTAAATAAATATTATACCTATTTCTAATATAAATCATTTAACTAAAGAATTTACTTCAGTAAAATATTACCCAATTCCATAAAATAAGTCCTATCATTCTCCAGTGGTGCCCCGCCAACATATATTGTTAGTACAGGCGGGTGTACTATTCCATTATCATCCCTAATTCTATAAAATACGTCCTATCATTCTCCAGTGGTGCCCCGCCTGCGTATACCGTTAGCACAGGCGGGTTTACTATTCCATTATCAATCCTAATTCGTTAAAATACGTCCTATCATTCTCCAGTGGCGCCCCGCCAGCGTTACCGTTGCTCAGGCGGGTGTACTATTCCATTATCATCACTATTTTTATAAAATACGTCCTATCATTCCCCACTGGTGCCCCGCCAACATATATTGTTAGTACAGGCGGGTGTACTATTCCATTATCATCACTAATTCTATAAAATACGTCCTATCATTCCCCACTGGTGCCCCGCCAGCGTATACCATTTGCGCAGACGGGTGTAGCTATTCTATTACCAGTTATTCCACAAAAAAATGCTTGCTGGTCAATTAGTATGTCATTATTTATGTTATGTTAATATGTTTGTCACACTTGTCATTCCAGGAAACACCGCCACAACACAGACCGTGCCATCACCTACTGAATTCAGATCCATCACCAGTCACCAAGTCACACCTGATGAGCACCGGTTTCCTCCACATATGCAGATCAATTACCCTGATCCTCCACCCCCATACTCGCCCACTAACAACCCAGTGATTCTACAACAACCAGTGAGTTCACCGACATCAATGGTCCTTCCAGAACATTCGAGAACAATTGTCATTACTGATGGTAAGGAAGAATTCGATATTCTATTATTGTATGCCCTCGGTGGTAAAATGGTTTAGCATAGCGCTTCTTTCGATGGTATGGTTCGATTCCTCGCACTGTACAAACGTTTGTATTCATGAATATGATTGTTTGTATCGATCTGGGTGTATCTACGTGTATTATATACGTATTTAAAAATGTATATCTCTGCATTTATATCAGTTATCTACACTCGCGAGCAAAAGTATGGAATCACTTACTTGGAATTGATTCCGCGCGATCTCAAATATTTAATAACCAGTTAAGAATAATAAAAATGGATTTGAAAGGTTAAATTGTTAACTTTAAACTGATATCAATATTTACCAAATTCATTTAAATCACACTAGTATTTAAGGAGCTAACCTGGATTGAGTGAAGAAGTAAGGAAAAAGATATGTTACAACTAGCTTTTGACCGCGGCTTCGCTCGCGTTAACTCATCCCCTTAGGGGTGGAATTTATCAAAATCCTTTCTTAGGGGATGCCTACGTCATAGTAGCTTTATGCATGCAAAGTCTCAGCCCGATCGGTTTAAAATTGACAAAGTTTCATACAAACTTTCGTTCCCTATTTTATCCCCTTGGGGGTAGAATTAATCAAAACCTACGTCATAACATCTACTTGCATGCCAAATTTCAGCCCGATCCGTCCAGTGGTTTGATATGATAGATCACTATGTCAGTCACCTTTGAGTTATATATATTTAGATTCTTTGATATGTCACGAGTGATTCCATACTTTCCATACTTATGGCGCTGTGTGAATTATCCTGAGATTATTATTATATGTCGTAATATTTCAGGATCGCAGCAGCATATAGTGCCCCAAGTTCCCGGAAGCAGGAAGTATATATTCTGCCACCATTGCAGATTCAATATAAACAGTTTGGTGATACACGAGACTGGGTTTATAACTCATATTTGGGCCATCGTGTTAATGATGTGTGGGTGAGTCAAGTAATTCTTTTAAAATTACTATTCTTGTATATCAAATCAAGTCAAAACAAAATTTATTTGCAGATTACAGTGCTTATAGGTACAAAAAAAATGAAAGAGCCTTTAATTTCCCTAAAAAAGAATATTACATGCCTTTCTCTAATTATATATGTACACTAGCTGTCCAGGCAAACGTTGTTTTGCCTTAAAATAAAAAAAAAATAGGTTTGGATTACCACTAACATTTAGGGGGATGAAAAATAGATGTTGGCCGATTCTCAGAACTATTCAATACGCTCAAAAAATTTCATGAGAATCGGTCAAGCCGTTTCGGAAGAGTATGGGAACGAAAACTGTGACACGAGAATTTTATATATAAGATTAAAGAAACGGATGAATTATATTAATTATCAAAGTGCACCGCCTTATTATCTCTGATCAACGCGACTGTTGACTGGTAGAGAATGCCTTCAGGCATTATGTCCGCCATTATATAATTGTACGTGAAAAAAAAAAACACTTTTATTTATACCAATAACTATATACCATAGAACACCAATATCCTAACGGAATATTAAATAAATCTGTAATTATAATAATAGAAATTCCAAAAATGAAAGATTATAGATATTGGTTTAATCATATTTCAAATTCAAATTCAAAATATCTTTATTCATGTAGGTCTATTACAGACTCATATGATATGTCACATCTACCATCAGTTTGGAATGATTTCGAGATGAGAAGAACTGACAAGAAACTCAGCTCGTTTTTTTTTTAATGTTGTACATATTTACAATAATACTATTTCATTTAAATTCAAATTTGGGAGACTAGAGTGACCACCAACATATGCCATATAAAAAAAAATCAATAAATCTAATCAGTATTCGCAACCTGATATTATATAATTATAATTTTCATTGGTTTACGTGTTTTACATAAATTATTTGACGACCTCGGTGGTCTAGCGGTCTAACACACCGCTTTACGTCCGATGGTCGCGGGTTCGATTCCTCGCACGGCACAAACATTTGTATTCATGAGTATGATTGTTTGTGTAGGTCTGGGAGTTTTCTATGTATATTAAGTATGTATTTACGATATAAAAATATCTATGTATTTGTATCAGTTATCTAGTACCCATAACACAAGCTTTAGCTAGCTTAACTTGGGTCTAGATGGTGCTGTGTGAATTGTCCTGAGATTATTATTATTATTATTTAGTTATACATCTATATAAATAAACATTGTAAATAAACTGGCTTTAAAAAAAAAAGTAATTCAATTCAGTTTCTTGCCAGTTCTTCTCAATTGCATCTATATACCGAACTGGACGGTAGGGAAAAAATAATATAATGTAAAAACTTGACGTTCATAAGCGGCGAAAATAAATGATTTTTGAATTTGAATTGAATTTGAATATATCAGTTGTGTAGTACCCGTAACACAACTCAGCGACTATATGGCACCTTGTAAATTGTCCAGAGATATTTATTTATTTAAACTCTTTATTGCACCAGACAAAGAAAACACACAAAATGATATAATACATAAATAAGATATTATTAAAAACTATTAAAAGTCTAAGGGGCAAGGCCATTGTTACTAATGAAGTGTCCCCATTAGTAACAATCCTAGAGTCCCCATTGCTAGCAATGTACCATGTTACATCGACCTCCACGCGTTTCCCCCTGGAAACCATCGTGGTTAATACCTGGTTATTTAATCACGATGAGCTAACTGACCTGACCTCATGTTCATCTTATCAACCTTCACTGGTGCCCCGCCAGCGTATACCGTTAGCGCAGGTACGTCATTCCATTATCATCCATGAAAAAATATTTACCCTACAACCTAAACACAGCTTACAAAGCAAGCTGTTTACTGGCTGAAACATATGAGACGCAGAGGTATCCTACCTCTGACCAACGCAGACAGCTTTTTACAGTCTACGCTCTATCTTTCTAAGTACATAAAAGATATAAACTAGCGGTTGTTAGGTATAACCTATAAATGTTACGGCAAAGTAGTTGTATCTATATGTTTAATATTTATATTTATTCATGTTATTTTATTCTATTCTTACCAATTACATATACTAGTACAGTTACATATACTACATTACATATACGAAAAAATAAAATAAAATATTCTATTTTTTCTTTCTAGTATATGTAATTGGTTTGTATTTATTTATTGTAATTTTGTTTTTATTATTACCATTAATATTTTGAATAGTGCCCCCTCTCTCCCCCCCCCCCCTTTGTATATATATTTCTTCCCCGTTTTGGTGCCACTGAAAACCAGCTGTATGTTCACATAGGACATACAATAAAGCTGAGTGGAATCAGTTCAGTGCCTTCATATATAATATGGATGTAAAAAAATATTATGTTTTTTTTTAATTATCTACACGGTAAATTAAGTTTAATTATATATACATTTTATTTAATTTTTTTTTTCGTTTATTTGTTTTTTATATTGTAACATTGTTGAAAAGCACTGAATAAAATTTTTTTTTTCTTTCTTTCTTTTCTTTCTTGTTAGCCATTAACATCTTTTGTGGTAATATAATTTGTTATTTTTTCAGAATGTTCCCATTCATTCTACTGATATACTGGGGCAACTGCTGCAAATACAAAAACCACTACTGCCCTCACTGCCACAAGAAGATAGCATACGTCAGGCCTTGTGGCTGTGACAGAATTACTGTAATCAAATGACGTCCTTGTATTAATTGCTACATTAATATAGGTTGACGTCACTACTACGTCTGATATTTTTTTACAATGGTTTTTATTTTTTTACAATCCTTACTAATGTTATAAACGCGAAAGTGACTGTCTGTCTGTCTATATCGCTTTCACGCCAAAACTACTGAACCAATTTAAATTAAATTTGGTACACAGATAGTCTAGACCCTGAGGTAGGACATAGGTTACTTGTTAATGCGAAAAAAAGGTTGTAAAGGGTTGACAGGGGAGATGGAAGTTTGTATAGAAGTATTGTCATTTTGAAGCTAGAGTCTTGGAACTTATTTTTAGGCTGTTGTTGTAAATTTAAATAAATATGACATTAACAAGTTTGTAAAAATGTTATCCTTAAGGGGTAAAATAAAATAGGAGATGAAAGTTTATATATAAATCCGCCGTTTTTGTCATCCGTCAAACTAAAACGATGAAACTTTTTTAACTATAACACGGACAAATTCGCGGGCACAGCTAGTGTTTTTTATAATAATACGAGTACGATACTGAATACAATATTATATATACGCTTTAAACAATGCAAATAAAGATTTTATAGAATATTTGTTTTTATTTTCTGACATATCATTACGATTATAATACCAGGTGGGGTAGACAGAAGCATTGACAATTATCGAAATGTTTCCAGTTCACTAGATTTACTTTTGAATCCAACGCAGCATAAGGCGAGCCTTGTTACCATTTTTTTTATATAGTTATCAATACTCTCTTCCCCGGAGTCAGTCAGAAATGCAAATTGAGAATCAATCTTAAGAATATGACAATTAAAGTCTAATTTTGACTGACAACCTTATGAGGGTAAGTCGGAATAGTCAACCACTAAGCAATGACTATCCCGTGAAAATTCCCCTATATAAAACAATCTTAATAACAATTATCAATCTTAAAAATATAAGAATTAAAGTATCATTTTGACTCACGACCTTTTGAAGGTAAGTCAGAGTAGTCAACCACTAAGCAATGACTATCCCGTGAAAGATACTTCCTATATAAAACGATCTTAATAATAATTATCAATCTTAAGAATATAAGAATTAAAGTGTAATTTTCACTGACAACCTTAAGAGGGTAAGTCAGGGTAGTCAACCACTAAGCGACGACTATCCTATGAAAGATATTTCCTATATAAAACGATCTTAATAATAATTATCTATCTTAAGAATATAAGAATTAAAGTGTAATTTTCACTGACAACCTTATGAGGGTAAGTCAGGGTAGTCAACCACTAAGCGACGACTATCCTATGAAAGATATTTCCTATATAAAACGATCTTAATAATAATTATCTATCTTAAGAATATAAGAATTAAAGTGTAATTTTCACTGACAACCTTATGAGGGTAAGTCGGAATAGTCAACCACTAAGCGACGACTACCCCATGAAAGATATTTCCTATATAAAACGATCTTAATAATAATTATCTATCTTAAGAATATAACAATTAAAGTGTAATTTTCACTGACAACCTTATGAGGGTAAGTCGGAATAGTCAACCACTAAGCGACGACTACCCCATGAAAGGATTCTATATAAACAATCTTAAGAATCATTTTCAATCTTAAAAATATATGTTTAAAGTCTGATTTTGACCACTTGACACGCTTGATATGTCATGCTCATATTTCTTATATATCTGTTTGTTATCAGTATTTCCTTCACCGGAAAGTCAGTTAGGAATATAAATTGAGACAGAGTTTAGTTTGTTGGTAAGATTTGAACTCACGACCGGTAAGTCGGGATACTCAACCACTAAGCGACGACTATCCCGCGAAAAATACTCCTATATAAAACAAATTACACAATAATAATAATTTTCAATCTTCAGTATATAAGAATTAAAGTCTAATTTTGATCAATTGGCGATCATTTATAAACGAATAGATCAGTGATTCCCAAAGTGGTCTATATCGACCCCCAGGGGTCTATGACAAACTGCAAGGGATCTACAACAGCGGTCATCTTGTTGTTTTTACTTTATGTTTTTAACACTAATCTTTACTACAGTTTATTTAACTTTACAAAAAATTAATGCCAGGTAAGAATCCCCATTCTTACCTGGCATTTTAGGTAGACCCCCCGGTCTACCTAAAACCGAAAAATATGGTAAGGAGTCTACGACACAAAAAGGTTTGGGAACCTCTGGAATATATCAATAGAGTTGAACTCACCTATTTAATCTGATAGGTCCACCTGTCTTCCTCACTTTCAAAGCTTTCTCCCAAAACTTGACAGCTTCAGGCAGAATTGTATTCTGTGAATGAACAGAAATGATAAACAATCTTTATAAAATAAAGTCGCTTCCGGTGTCTGTGCGCTTAGATCTATTAAACTATGCAACTTTTAATGCAGTTTTTAGCAATAAATAGAGTGATTCAAGAGGAAAGCCGGGGCGGGTAGCTATTATAAAATAAACTTCTATAAACGTCATATTTATCTATCTCTACTCCAAATTGCATTAACAACCAGCCGTTTAGTCGTAAACTAATAGACATATGTAACTATAATGATTAACAGGCAGTCAATAAAAAAAAATACTTACATTGATCATATCAAACTTCTCTGGTTCTAACCTGAAATGAAAGGAAAAAATATTTTTTTAAACAGTAGTAGTACAATTTCGGTTAATTATTAGTACCTAGCTATCGCGCGCTACTTCGCCTGCGTTTCATTTTCTCACCTTTTGCAATATTTTTAATTACATCTCCGCTCCTATTAATCGTAGCGTAATGTTATATAGCTTAAAGATTTCCTCGATAAATGGACTATTTCAGGACAACACAAACAACCATCCATCCATCCATTTATCCATCCATCCATTTATCCATCCATCCATCCATCCATCCATCCATCCATCCATCCATCCATCCATCCATCCATCCATCCATCCATCCATCCATCCATCCAACACAAAAAGAATTTTCCAATTCGGACCAGAAGTTCCTGAGATTGTCCATTTGTCGAAGAAGGAGCAGAGCTGCAATGAAAAATATTGAAAAAGATGGTGAAATACAACGTAGACGATGTTGCGCGGATCAGCTAGTTTGTGTGATTAATGTTAAATATTAATATAATTGATTAAAATACATTATTTATTTCCAATGAAATACTAAAGTTATATCACATATGGAGAAAATTCACACGTCGATAAATTATTTATTTAAATCCGTTATAATAACTACAATATATCTACGATTAAATAATCTCTCACAAGATATGCAAATTGTGAATTTCTATTCTGCGAAGAAACCTGCTGGTTTCCTATTAGTTCTAATGTCATAATTTCAACTGATTTTACTATAATTATAGTAGAGACCTTGCAAAAACTCGTCTGCGTATGTACCACAGTCTCACCTATCCCAGCAGCCAAGCACGCGGTTATCCCTGGAGACCATCGTGATAAATTCATAGTAAATTTACCACAATGGGCTAATTGACCTGAACTCATGCTCATCTTATAATCCTCCACTGGTGCCCCGCCAGCGTAAACCGTTAGCGCAGGCAGGTGCGCCATTCCATTATCATCCCTAAGAAAATCCGTCATACTCGTGAACGAGTGCTGCTTGTAGGGGCTGGTCTGCTCTTATCACTACAACTGATATAATATTATTGTGTATTTATATTTGACACTAATAAATTAGTGCTGGTTGGTAGTTTGTATTCACACGTTTCTATTTGTAAAATGTGAACTTACAAGGATTGTTTAAAAGAGCAACACACAAGTTTCTTGCTCGTTCTTCTTGTGATAAGAGCTTTCCGAAGGAGCGGTAGATTAAAAAAAATGTTATGACTATTCAAATAAATTAAGATCTTAAATTAAGTTTATTTGAATAAATATTTTTCAATTCAATTCATTCCATAACATTTATTCTAAAAAAAAGGACGTCCCGTCAACGTATACTGTTAGTGCAAACGGATCCACGAAACCTAATAAAAGACTACCGTACGTTGGCAGGTCGAGGTTTTTTAGTACAAACTGGTCAACCATTCTGTTAACTATCGTGTGACGCACCATTAATTAAAAATGGTAAAGTCAATAATTATGTAACCTGAAACGGAACGTCAGAGGCCAGACCCAAAGTAATCTATGTGACATTGACAGATAGATTGATAAATGATTGATCGTAGGCAGCGGGAGTTTTGGAGCGAAAAAGTTGAGAGGGTATATTTTATTATAAAAACAAATAAGAAATAGGTAATTGTGAATATTGTAGGCATTGAGGTGTTTCTCACCCTGACCAACCGGCATTACGCCTAAGTCATCAGGATACTAGTGATTTTAATAATTCATATATCAGCCATTAACACAAAATCTATTTTATATTTTATAAAAGCTGAAACAAATTAAACAGCCCATCTGATGTTAAGGGATAACAGTTACCTAAATAAATGAATTGTGTCACAGATAATGTATAGAGACTGAGTAACCCTAATTCCTTATCTTAAGGGCCTTAGCCCTTAGGGTTACTCTCTTTATTAAAAGAAAACTTAATAAAAGCGCTTTTGAATAGTTATATTTTTTATTCCACCACTCTTTCGCAGACTTATAACAAGAACATTGCTATTTTATTTTATAACAATTACACTTTAACAAGTAGAGGGCACACGATAATCCCTACTCCCGCGATAAGCCGACCTTGTGTTATGGGTACTAGACAACTGATATAAACTCTTATATATTTTTATGTAAATACATCATTACATAGTATAAAACAAATTCGCTGTCGCTGTCTGTCCGTCCCTATGTATGCTTGAATCTTTAAAACTACGCAACGGATTTTGAAGCGGTTTTTTTAATAGATAGAGTGATTCAAGAGGAAGATTTATATATATAATACATGTACACCCGGGCGAATAGGTAGTAGATAATATACATAGAAACGGCTCAAACCGATACAAACAATCATACTCAAGTATACAAATGTTTGTATTGCGCGAGGAATCTAACTCGTGCCCATCGGTATTAAGCGGTGTCCTAAACCACTGGGCCACCGAGGCCGTCATGCTCACATGTCACTTAATATATCTATCCCAAAACAAGCTTACAACAAGAGGAACAATTACAAAACTTACTTGTTGCTCTTTTAAATATATGTTGTTCAGGTGTTACATATATTTGTGCTATCAACACAAAACATATATGTATCTTAACAAAGCAAGCTGTTTGGAGGCGGAAATAGGCAAAACAGTGGGTTAACGATTTTGTACACGGTCATCTCTGGAAATAAGTTGTTAAGTAAAGATATATCTTACCTATAAACTGAATGGTCATACACTATACTTATTCTTAAGGGTTGGTCTATACTCCTCTTCTTCACTAAATGCGGTGGCTCTATATGTACACCACGGATTACCTGCAACAACAAATTAAAAGTATATTAAAAAATAAATAAACACCATAAACAAACACGCACTTTTTTTATTTACTTTTAATGGTAAACATACTCATTTGCTATATATATTAATATCGCCGTTAAAACTAGGGGTTGATAGTTGAAGGATGAAAATTGAGGAACGTAAGTATTTTTTAATGTCAAATCATGAAATATAAAAAATTTGTCAAAAATGTGGTAGCCAACACTTATCACTAGAAAAATTGATTACTACCTTAGTCTCAGATCTACCGAGTATACATACAAAATTTCAACTAAATCGGTTAAGTTCAAATTCAATTCAAAAATCATTTATTCATCATGTAGGACATTTTAGCCGCTTATGTACGTCAAGTTTTTTACATTATAATTTGTTTTTCCTACCGTCCAGTTATATAGATCCAATAAGATAAAAAAAGATACTACAAAAGACTACAGCATGGGGTTTTTCAATAAGGATATATTAAGGTTTCTTAAGAGTCGGCAACACGCACGTGACATCCCTGGTGTTACAGACGTCCATAGCCTACGGTAACTGTTTACAATCAGTTAGGCCGTATGCTTGGATGCCACAAACCAAAATACCATCCCGATCATCCTGGATGAAAGGCAGCCCTCCACCGTGCGTTTTTCCTGAAACTTTTTGTCACGCAAAAGTACATTGTGGAATCACCTTTTAGCAAATGTATTTCTGGACTGATAAGATATTTAAACCTTCGAGTAAAGAGCTTATTCCTACTTGTAAGGCTGGCAACCCACTTGCAATTCCCCTGGTATTGCGGGTGCTCCTGGGTGGCGGTAATCACTTACCAACAGGTAAGCCGCAAGCTCGATTGTTCCCTATCGTCAAGATGAGCTACCGGACCTGACTTCATGCTCATCTTATTATCCTCCACTGGTGCCCCGCCAGCCTAAACCATTAGCGCAATCGGGTGCACCATGCATCCGCCTACGCTAACGGTTTACGCTGGCGGGGCACCAGTGGAGAATGATAGGACGTATTTTATGGAATTAGGTATGATAATATGTACACCCGCCTGCGCCAACTGTATATGCTGATCCATAATCATTCATATCCATGATCATTCATAAAAAAAACTAAACTCATCATCTGCTTCTTCCTTATCCCATTTATTTGTGGTCAGCGTAATATGTTTTTCTCTTCCATTCATCCCTGTTCGCAGTCATCTCGTTATTAACTTCCTTTCTTACCAAAAAAAACTATGCTAATAAAAAAAACGTATTATAAAATCTACACCAAGCTTCGAAGACTAAAGATTGTTTATGAAATTAACCTTCAATAACCATAAAAAGGCTACCATTGACTCCATCGAACATCATATATCACTAAGAGGTTATTACATTATCAAATGTATGGGTTCCTGACCATTAGCTACGAAATGGTATGGAATTAGGAAAGTTTATGGGGTAATAGTGAACTTTTAATACAATTGGTTTTTTTATGTATATAATGGCAATCAAGTAGTATAATGCAGACGAAATTACACGAGTTAGCTAGTATTTAATAATGTAACCTCTAAGAAGTTAATGTCCATGAATTTACTTAACATTTTAAAATGTCAGCTGTATAATCTTAAATTACATATTACGTTCATATGTTAATTGCTAACTGGTTTGTATGATAATGATAACAATAATGTATTGAAATTCAAATGTCTGTTTTAAATAAAAATGAGGCAGTGATCTCAACGGTGTTGGCGAAAATAACATCAAAACTACATCTTATTTATATTATATTGAATATGAAAAAATATGCTAAAAAATTTACCTCCCCAATACAAAAATCTATACAGTCAGTTTCGTCTCTTAAAAAAATATTTACTCCAAAGTACAAAAATCTTTAACATGGTAGATAAATGCAGTAGTTATATATATGTTACGTGTATTGTATTCAAGCTATATTATATTGCACAATTAAGTCTTTTATCCAACACATTTAGAAATTTTATCCTTATATATTTTTCTTCCATTTTACACATACTTCTAATTCATCCATTTAACCTAGGTACTCTTCATTTTATATATTTAAAGTCAATATATCATCATCAAGAATGCTGATATTATTGACTTCTGTGAAGAATTTTTTGAAGGGAGGGCATAGCAAGATGTATCTTGATACATTTTGCTCGACTTGAGGCGGCCCGAACTTGAGGTACTACGCTCCACCAAGCATAATACCACAGCCAAATAGTGCTGTACTTGCACTACACAACAGCACTGTGTTTCTTTGGTGAGTAAGGTGACCAGAGCCCCATGGGGATTGGTTGTGCCGCGGGATTGCACACTACAGGCGCGACGTTCAGGGAGACCCGGTGAAACGGCTAACCGCTGGCCGCCCGCAGGTTGTAAGGTATCAAAAAAAATTTTTTTAATTAAAAGTACATATTCATTCGAATATCTCCAAGAACACGTGTACAAAATTTCATGATGATCTGTTCAGTAGTTTTTGCGTGAAAGCGTAACAAAACATCCCTACTTTCATATTTATTATATTATGTTAAGGATTTTATTTACTGCTAAAGTCTCTTATGTACAAAAAAAAAAATATTATTCCAGTTACATTTTTTTTTTTTTGAGACAAATATTAAATCTGTCGTGTACAACAATGGTTCTTAGCCATTGATCTATGAAGAACTTTATAAAAGTTATATATATATATGTATACAGTAAATATAATATCAGGGTTTGCTCTAACATTTATATGTATTCCTCATTAAAATCATTGGGCTATCTAAAACATAGCCTAGCGCAGTTATATCTGGCTTATCTGTCACACTCGTGAGTGCTGCTTGTAGGGACTGGTCTGCTCTTATCATTACTACTGATACGCTTATATAATTACTCAACCAGTTGGTTGTGTTTTAAATATTATGACTCTAATTAATTTGTGCTATTTGGTAGTTTGTATTTACACAGTTTAACTTAAAAATTACAACAAATTTATTTTAAAGAGCAACACGCAAGTTTATTGCTCGTTGTTCTTGTGATGAGAGAGCTTTATGAATGAGCGGTAGATTAAAAAAAATTGGTATAACTATGCAAAAGTGATTTTAAAAATTTAAACTCTTTTGAATTAAACCAGTTACAATTTATAACAGAATTTTGGTATTAGAAATATAAAGCTTATAAAATAGGTCATAGACTAAATAAGTGGCCTGTATTCCACAATACTTTTTATATAAAAAAACAAATATTTTTGATTCAAATCGAGCCGCGGGTAAAAGCTCAGACAATCACCACATTATGTACAAACTATTGTAAAATCTATTTATATTTCAATCCCACTCTTTGATAAAGCCATTCGTTGCAATATTCGATATGTATTGTAATAATCAATTGATACACAGTGGAACGAAATACCAAATTGTTTTCGATAACAAATAATTCTCCAGAACGTTCTGTGACGAATAGAATGCAGAAACAATGTTAGGTATAGCCCGTGACTTGGTCTGGTTTTTGCAGCTGTTGCTAAATGGAATGATATATTATATTTATTTAACTTCAATGCACACTATATACAAAATACAGTAAAGTACATTTGGCGGACTTAACACCATGCGACATTTTCTGCCAGTCAACCATAGGTGGTGCAGAGAATAACTGTTGGCGGTGCAAATATAATTAATGATGAACAAAATGCAATAAAATATAAACAAAACGATAAATACAATATATATCTAAAAAATACAATAATAAATTACATAAATATATACAAACATTATATTATACATTCATTCATTCATAATTTAAGAGCTACGCTCTTGTCGGTGGAGCTCTTGCCACTTTCCGCGATCTTCCATCATGCTCTTTAATTCTTGATACGTATACATATATACAAATAAATATATACATACCTATATATAAAATAAACATACACAATAGTCTGACAGTCACAGAACTAAAGAGGTAGAATTGAAAAAATAATGAATGAGAGAGAACTGGAAGAGAGCAGAAAAAGTTACAAATTGAGATAATATTCCCATAGTTTACGATTAAAAGAAAATTATAGATATACAAATGAACAGAGTCAAGGTCTAGATACATGGTTCGAATTGAAAGTTGTGTCCGTCAGGTGGGAGCTGGTCTTCAGCCGCTCCATAAGTCCATCCTTTGGTTTGGAGTGCCATCTGCACTCGCCTCCTATCGTCCGGTGAAGCTGTAAAGGCCATCTGCGGCCAACATTAGAGTAGTCCGGAAAAAAGGCCCAGATGCATGGATCGAATTGAAAGTTGTATCCGTCAGGGGAGCTGGTCTTTAAATAATCAGTTGTAGTGGAATTAAACAAAATAATATAAATTCATTAAGTAGTAAATATTAATATTTGTAGATGTATATAATTTATAAAGAAATCGATAGATAATCATGGAACCATGGCAAGTACTACACCGACATGGGAGCGGTTCTTAAATTAAAAAATAAAGAATAAAATATATACGCTTGATAATTTCTAACATGCAATAATAATACATTCAAGTTTTATAGTCATAATAATAAAACTAACATTTTATTATTATGATTGTATATTTCTGTTTGCTGTTACCAAATGTGTTATGTAAGTTAAAAACAGTTCATATTTATATATTCTTTATTGCACTTTTAAATACAGTTATAAACTATATACAATCAAAATGTTCTAATCTATATACAAAGTGAGCATTTATATTACGTTTAAAAAATATGTTTTTGACACGTTAATGACCGCACGCCCACCGGTGCGTCACTCCGCAACGAAAGTAAATTTACACGTTGGACCCAGGGATCATCCGCGGGCACTTTAATTGAAATAAATTTAGGGTTAAATAATGTCTACCTCATTATTGTACAATAAAACATATTAAAAAAATAATATACGTAATTAACAATAAAAAAATGCCGGTCCCTATGTGAGAGACATGATTTTTCAATGAAAATTAACTACCGCACTTAACCTATTTAGGTTCGTTATGTCTTAGACAATATGA